TATAATGTAAACAATTTTTGTTATTTCTAATATGTATATTTAAGTGCACATAAAAAACGGTAAATCTTATGGTCATCGTTCATCACAAGTTATTCGTTTTTTCATTGCTAAAGGCTGTAGCGACTTGACAGTTTTTCCTTACTAAGCATACAAATAAAAAAAAAAATGATTTTACAAATTTTTAACAGCAATAAAAGATACATAGAGGAGAGAAATCTTTTTGGACTTGATGGTGATTAATTTAGCAATATTGTAATGCTAGATTCCGTTGATGCGCTCATTTGCAAGTGTAATATTAGTTTGTTATTACTTGGTGGTTAATTTTATGTTACAATTAATATATTGAAGTTGTTTGCTTAGACCACTTCTTGTATCCAATTCAGGGCGCCACGTATGCGTCGTAGCCGTGCACGCGCCAAAAAACTACATATCAATAAATATTCCACATAAGTGCGACGACCGCTCTCATTAAAACTAAGCTGATCCACAGCAGCGCGACCCTCACACATTACTTTAGTGGTGAGTGAAAGCAGCCATTGGAGAATCTGTAAAATTAATATCATCATATTAATTAGAGGCGACTGCTGTTTTTATGAACTCACCTCCGGGCTGTTGGGCATGCCACCAGCTTTAAGCCACTTAGATGGCGCCCATAGAAAAAGTTGCATTATGTTTGCCGCGATATCCGGGCTTACACGCTTAGCAGGGCTCGGGTTCAGTATGTTATAGATCAGTTGCTGCACAATCGCTGGGCATTCATCGTTCAGCGGTGGCAGATCGTTCTCCTTATAATCACTATTGCGTAATGACAAAGTTTGCTCGCCATTAGCCAAGGCTAAACCACCACTCGATGAGTAGAATGGATTGCGTAGGCCGAAAATTTCATATGCAATCGCGCCACAAGCCCATAAGTCCGCTTTTGCATAGTTCAGCACAGCAAATGGGCCAGGTTGTTTGTTAATGATCTCAGGTGCCATAAGCGCAGCATTGCCGCCCTTGTCGATATCGAAGGAAGTGTAAGGCATCTGCAAACCATGTACTTTATCAGCCAAACAGCAACCGAAGTCGGAGAGCACCAACACCGGCGGCGAATCATCATCATTCATTTCAATAAGTATATTGTCGGACTTAATATCACGATGCGCAATGCCATGTCGATTAATATGCGCCGTAGCTTCAAGCAATTGCGCCAACAGCAATAGTTTGGTACGGGCGCTCAGTTTGTGTGAATCCAGTAGCGCGCGCAAGCTGTAGTCGTAGCGTTTCATCAACAAATAAAGCGACATATTGCGTCCATAACCATGTGGATTGATGCGTTGCGGCTGCGCAACTGGGTAAAGTATATGGCCGTCGGGGAAATTGCGTACCTCATCGCAGAAGAAGCCAAACATGCAGACTATATTTGGATGCGGCGGCAAAGTGAGTGTTTGATTTTGTAATAAGCGTTCCCACTCTTCCGAACCGTCATTCATGCGACGCGCACGTGCCGGCACGGTCTCCTTGTACATGGCGCGCAGAATGGAGAGTGCATTACTTTGTATGTCATAGTTGAACATCATTTTCAAAGCGAGCGGATAGCGATTTATACCCGCTAATGGCGCATCTATGGATTCCTGCAAATAAAGAATTTTATTAGTATTTTCAATCAAACATAAAAATATGCAAATTTATACGTACGAGTCCTTGCATACCACTACTAATTCCAGAGAAACCAGCATTTCTATCACTAATCAAATCGTTGTCTAATTTCTGCATATTTTCTTCTTCCAAGTCACTGGTGCGTCGTGCACTACGCTCGGCGACAAAAGCAGCAGCCGCGGAGTTCTGATTATACAATTCATTAAGATTATCCATAGAGCTGCCGAAATTGTGTACAAAACGTGACATATTCTGTATTGGAGACATCAATTCTGGATGGAAAGATTGTTGTTGAAGTGGTACAGCTGCGGTAGTGCGCGCCATAGCAGCTGCTGCTTCGGCGTCATGCGTTGCATCTAAGATAGGCGTTTCTATAGATGTAGAGTTACTACTTGCGTTTCTAAATGCTGCCGAATACACTACTGCAGCACAACCTTTTGCAATAGCCGGTCCCACGTCCAATTTATCGATGCTGAAGTCACTATTAAGACTTTCGGATATCTCATCATAATTCCAAGATGCTTGTAGACGACCGGCGGCTTCGCGTATCTCCCAACACACACCCTCCAATTCGTCCTCTTTTGTTAGCACACCAGCGCCGGAGGCCAAACTCACGCCGACGAGTGCAAAAAAAGGTGCAGAATCGCCATAGAAGAGCTTTTTAGTTGCTTGCGTGCGTAATTCTTGTGAGTAATTGGTTGTGACGCGATTTAAGATATTGTCGATGAAAACTTTGCGCGCATGTTGGCCAACGCTTAAGAGGCCGGTACGTGGCAGCGACTTTGAGGCGCCACTTGTAGCTGCATGTGTAATGCCTTGAAGCGCTCCTCTAGCCGGCAAAGGTTGAGCGGACGCGGTAACACTAACAGCGCCCGACTAGACGCAATAAATATTTAAATAATGCTAATGAAGAAAACATTTAGTGGCATTCAATTCTAATGTAACATACCCTTAAAGAGTTGGGTAAGCTCCGGCGCGTCTTCTCGCGGTTTTGTTCCAAAATGTTGAAGTGTATATCGCGTTTCCAGTAACTTTGTAGGAAGTAGCGACCATGTTTAACCAGTCGTAAGGTTAGCAGGCGCACAGACATCCTCGTCGCTTTCTAGTGATACGCCTATGTATTGTTTATTGTAATTGCAATGATACACCCACAAACACAGTAGCTGGTTTCTCGCTGCAATAACAGAATGCGTATATTTTTTCGTGTTTGTGTTTGTTGCTGTAATATTTACGCCGCAGAAACGCAGAAAGGCAAGACATAACAAGCGTATTTTCGTAAAATATATATCATGTGGAATTTGGTATACTCACGTTTTAGTTATATTCGCGAAAACTTCTGATATTTTTATAACGTACACAGCAGCGTATTGCACACATCGAATATGATTGGCGTAGCAAGTGCTACTTCCCTACTTTTTTGCAATTATCTAACAATAGCAATATTTTCACGCTTGGCTACTTGCTAGATGTTAAAATGGATTTAATATGTTACAACAAAGCTTGTAAATAGCTGCACAACTTTTGCTTGTATTATTCATTAACTCTCTTACCATAAATTGTAGATAATTAAGCGATTTCTACTGGTCGTGCTTTGTTTATTTTGATTTTTCGCCTTTAATTTTTCTCTTGTAAATTGTATTCGAACAATCGTTTTTTTTCGATAATCGCTAAAAATAGCAGAAAATATTGAAACAGACACGCAAAAAACAAATTGATCAGCAGCGAAATTACCAATCACAATAGGAAATCAGCTGTTTGTATTTTGTTTACCATTTATTCGCCATAAAACTTGGACAAAAAGGAATTGTATTAATTTTGTTGCCGGTGTATCACTTCCGGCAAAGTAAAGTGTAAATCAAATTTTATTTTCACAACAAACTAATGCAATACAAATACATATATCAGTAAATTTTATTACCTTTTTCTCTACTACTAAAGACTGTATACAACGTATGGAGTAGAACTCGTTACTTTAGCGGCTACGTGTGATCGCTCGGCTACACAAATTGCGGTTCTTTTTCATAACGCCTCTACATATTATTGTTGGTTTTGTTAATACTTTTGTTAGTCTTTAACAGTTTTTATTTATTTTTGTACTTTGAACGTGCTTGTAATGTGTTAAACTTAAATTCTGTTTAATAATTATTGTGAGGAAAAAATGAATTCTTTTAGTCGTGCTTATCGGGGTATGTAAAAATGTAAAAATTTATAAAATTAACTATAAATGGTGATTTTAATTTAAACAATAGATCCCAAATCACCACTTACTCCACTTACACCGCTTACTACGCATACGGCTTTCAATTTTAATTTAAATGGTGACACGCTGCATCCTTTTCTAAGTGTTATAGAAGCTGAACGCATTAAAGAAACACCTAAATCTTCGCCAGCTGGATTGGCATGTGGTACAAAATACGTGAATGCAAACAAATATATCAAACGTCAGCCGGCAAATTTAAACGCACCTAACGTTTTATCTGACACTACAAACAAATCAAGAAAACTTTCACCGAGATTCATTTCAAAGAAATCTGATGTTGACGACAAAAAAACTTTGAAAGACTCAAATAATGATGTTAATAACAATAAGACTAGTTCGAAGTACTCATCAACAAGCATTTCTTCCAGCTCCTCACGTGGGTCTTTTAAATGCAATGAATCATCCTATAAAGAAACTGACACAATTCCTTCCTCAAAATTCAAACTAAGTCCTCGCGCTACGTCTACTTATAATTATCACAGTGTATCCAGCAGCCAAAATTCTGCACATAGCTCTAGCGATTCAATTAATTCAAATAATTCCTTTCAAAATGATTCAAGTACAACTCCAAATTCGTTCACCTATAATGGAGGTGCACGTGATCATAAGCCACCAAAGCTTGTTCTCAACGATACAAATGTTACTGAGACTGACTCCACCATGTCAACTGTCTTCAACTGGGTGTGGAATTGTCTGTCACCTATGAAGAATCCATCTATTTATGAGTTGCTGGCACGCGTTGATATGCAAAAATATTGGGAAATTTTTGAGAAAGAAGAAATATTAGATTTGGATGTATTTTCAACTTTAACTATGGCGGATTTGGCAGCTATTGGCATTAAAGATACTAATGACTGTATCAAAATATTAAAATCTGTTGGATGGGCACTCGATTTTCTGTCGGGCTTATTAAATTTTAAAAGGCCTGAAAAGTAAATATGTAGTTACAAAAAATTTTGTTAAGACTTTTATGTTTAAATGTTTGTGTTTGTATAGATGTTTAATTTTGTGAAATGTATTGACTAAAAAAAATAAATTTGACTACGAAGAAAGTAATATATTTATTAATTTTTATAACAATCATATTTGAATATTAGATTCTATAAATTAAATATTGCTTAAAATTCCGTTAATGGAACGGAGTATTTATTGTAACTTTGCCATGAGGAAGAACAAGCGTTATATATCCGATAATATACGATTCCAATTTGCTTTGCGAAATTATTTGGTGTTCAAAAATTGAGGGAGCGAATTAAATTTTGTATTTACTTTAAAAATTATTAAATTTTACTAAATTCGACGTTTAACGTCGTCGTATTCTAAGCACAGTTCCAATAATTCAGCCATAATGGAATCGGTGCTTTTCGCTAACATAAAAAAGTTATATGCTAATGAGTTGTATTCTTGTGTTATACCGGCCGCTAGTTTGCTAAATACACTTTTGCAAAATGAGCGCAATGTTGCTACACCCGAAATGGAATATCAAGTGCTGCTCTTCAGCGGTAATGCTCACTATCATGAACGGAATTATCGTTTGGCCAGCAAACAGTATGAAGCCGCATTACTAATGCGCAAAACTATGTTGCGCTTTAAGAATACCCAGATAGTTAGTATTGAGATAACACATGAACAATTTAGTGAGCTTGAGACGCGTTACCGTCTCGCTAGATGCTATAGGGAACTTGGTGAGGACCACAAGGCCATAAGCACACTACACGCCTTGCCCTTGAAAACTCGCACTTCCAAAGTGAATATGCTATTGGCGCAACTTTGCCATTATGGGCAAAATGTTGATAATGTGGAAGCTGTAGCAGCTTATAAAGAAGTATTGGGTGATTGTCCCATGGCATTGGTGGCTATAGAAGCGTTGTTGATGTTGGGCGTGGATGGCATAGAGGTTAATTCATTGGTGGTTAATGGTATTGAAATATACGTATATATAACACTTTCCAATTAATCACTTTTAAATTACTCTACTAAATTTCAGCTAGTACGGTGCCCAAGCACATTGATTGGTTAAGCAGCTGGATAAAGGCACACGCTCAGCTTTATGGACGCGATCATTTAGAAGCATCAAAAACATTTCAAGCCATTAACGACAACACAAAATTTCACCAAAACTCCTATTTACTCACTTTGATCGGCAAAAGTCTTTATTATTATGGGCGTTATATGCAAGCGCAACAATATTTAGAGACTGCACTTATGGTAAATCCACATAATACGGATGCTTTAATGCCGTTAGCTGTCGTTTATGAATATAATCAGAAATTATCTGAATTAGATAAACTTGCCGCACAAATTGGCAATATAAAAGAGCTAAACTCTGAGCATTGGTTTGTTGTCGCCGAAAGTTGTTACGCCGCAGGGCAGATAGTGAAGGCTATTTCTTTTGCAAAGAAAGCAATCGAGTTGGACGAACGCAACATCGAGGCGCAATTACTACGTGGTCGTATTTGCTTGCAACTAAAACAAGGTGTTGAAGCAATCTCTTATTTTCGCACCGCACAATGCATTGCCAGTTACCGCTTTGAGGTATATAAAGGTCTATATCATTGCTATGTAAGCAGAAAGCGACGAGACGAAGCACAGGCAATGTGTGCATTAGCCGTGCGTTATTTTCGCAATTCACCTCGCAGTTATGTGGTATGTGTGAACTGCATTATAAATAACACAAGTTTGAACGTGAAATTGATTATTTTAGATGTTTGCGCGTGTTTTACTACATTCCAATAATCCATTGGCAAAGAAAAGCGCTAAGAAATTCTTGGCCAAAGCGTTAGAAATCGATGAGCATTATGCCGTCGCTGTAGCACTTATGGCAGATGTGTGTCAAGCAAATGGAGAAACGCAAGAAGCCAGCGCTATGTTGAAAAAGCAAGTTTTATCGTTTCCTAATCCCTCATATTTCAGCATGTTGGGTGATTTGCGTCGCACCGCCAGAGATTTGGACGGTGCACTTGAGTATTATACAATCGCATTGAGGTATGTATGTTACAGATACGGTAAACCTAAGTGGCTGAATGTCGTTTGTATCTTCTTTTTTCAGTCTTGAGCCTAACGATCGTCACGCATTAAAAGGTGTGAAAGCATTAACACGCGGCGGTGATAAACAAGACCAAGATACTTCGCTTATGATATCACGTCTACGTGACGAAGAATGGCAAATTGATGAAGAAGCAGAAGAGTCCTCATCACATGATGAAGACGATTCAGATACATACTCCGAACCATTTTGGCAAGATTTGGAATCTGAAGTGATTAATTAGTGCATTTCGAGGTTTGTAAGATTTTTTATTTCATTATACATTATTTGGTAAAAATATGACGCTAAAAGCGTATTTAACCCAGAAAAGAATAGAATATTTAGCCCAAGTATAGTAGATTTTTATCATTCTAATTTTTAATCTAATGCCGAAAAGTACGTATTAAATGCCGTGTTAATTTAAGCGCTATAATATTTGAAAAATGTTCGTATATTTATTTGGACAAAAAACATATACAATTATAAATAACATGTGTGATTTTCAACACCTACGACGTCTTCTCAGTCTCCATTTCTTCATCGTTTGCACTATTATTGTTGGCGGCAACTGTAGCGCTGCTTGATTTTGCTTTATCCTTTTTATCCTTGACGGCCTTGCGGTAAGCCTCCAAATCGGTTGACAATGGCTGCACGAAGTTTTCAAATTCCAATTGTTTTAAAGCGTCCAATATATTTGCTGCTGTGATAGTTTTGTGGTTCTGTTTTCGCGCCAGCGTTGTTGATGAGGATGTCAGAAAGATCACAAAGACAGAAGCCGCCCGTGCTATAGCAGCACGCGCTTCCTTGCTCACATTCGCTCCTTCGGGCAAAGCATCTTTGATTAATCGTCCCACGACTGCGTTTGGTAAATTCAAATCTTCAATGCGTTCGACCATGGCCAAATTAATTAATATTGAAATCAAAGATGTAAACGATATTTGCTGTAAATTGGCGAATCTTTCACTTCTTTTTTGACAATTGCACCGAAGCGGTAAACAAAACTCTAATAAATGCAATGTTGCTTCTTCCTTTCGATACAATCACAATAGTGACCTTCCGATTAAAAGTAGTGTTATGTCGATATATATCGATAATTTCAAAATACATGTAGAGAAACGTTCAAAAAGTGAAAATAAAGTGTAAAAGATTTCTCGATAAATCTTGTTTACCTTAAAACTCACTCTTGAATCCCAATTTAATGACTATACACTTATCTTTATTTTGAATTCCAACAACTTAACGCTTCACTACTTATCGGATTTACTAATTTCTTACTGACATATATTTCATTTGCTCTTAACACGGCAGCACTCTAACTAGAACCGTGTCTGTTACACAATCCGGTAGCCCTTATATAGTAGATTGTTACCAAAAAATCGCCACTCGAACATTCTGGCAACTATACATTTCCCTGTTTATTTTGGCAATTTATCGTCGACTCGGTTTTGTTTAAGAAATGCATTATTACCCGGTTTTGGGATGGTAAGGATTAGATATGTAAGTTGATCTTGTGGTCAAGGTCGTCAAGGTCATTAAACGGTAGGCTCGGAAAGAGGAGTCGGACCATAGGGGAGGGGTGCCAGATATGTAGAGAAAGAGAATATTATATTAAGAAGGATATTTTATTTTGTTTTTGTTACATTGTATATACTATTTTTTATTGAAATATAAATCGAATTCTTGTATTAAATATAATTTTCTGTTTAAGTACACGAACAGCAAATTTTATGTACAAATTATTATATTATATGTGTGTGCGGCAACAATCCGTTCGCAAATTTACGAAAACGACAAATTTAACGGTTCAATTTGAGCCAACTTAGTGCTCAGCTTAATTTTAGACCGCCAATTATTGTTTATCTGCCATACATTCGCTTTCATATTTCATAATACTGCAGCTAATGTCTAAACTAGTAATTAGTTTACTGCATTTGCTAACTCAGAGATTACATGCAATTAAGTAGTACCCCGCTAACCTAACCCTATTTTAGGGTAGTATTTATATAGTTTAACTAGCTTAATGTTTCAAATCGCGAAAAGTAGTTATTTTTGGTATAGCAAATTATGCCTCGGGATGTGCCTCACTGTTTCCTGCCGCCGCTTCTGTAACGCTGTCTGCGGCGCTTGCCACCGCGATAGTCGGCGCAGGTACTGCTTCTGTGGCACCTTCCTGCAGCGTTGGCAACGTACGCGTATGCACGCCAGTCGTTTCAACGACGATCGTTGGCAGTTCGGCATTTTCAATCGCATTCGGGTAGTTAACAGCTGCCGCGCTAGTAGCTGCCGGCACACCCGCATGCTCGGCAATCACTGGCTCCAACTCGGGCGTCGTATATTGATTAACATTAATCTCCGTTTCGGCCGCATTAATATCGATACGCGCTGTATGTTCATCCCTATTTGCTGGTGTCTTTGCTTCCTGACCGCCTTCTAATCTTGCAATGGTTTCGCTCTCTTCTGTTGCCTGAGACACCTCCACAATTGGTGCAGCGGTGATGGTAACCGCCGGTGGTGCTGCTTGTGTATTATTAACAATTGTTGGCTGGGCGGTTGCTTCGCTTGTTGCGGCGGGTGCGGCCGGTAATTTTGTTACATCGGCGGGCTCGGGCGTTGAGGCCTTCGACTGAGCGGGCGTTGGGGCCTTTGATTGTGCTGGTGTTGGTGGTTTTGACGGTGCTGGCGAGGCGGAGGGCGTGGAGCTGCGCGAGCCCAATTTCTGCTTATGTGCGCTCTTATCTAGCAGCACTGACGTGGCTTGTGGCGCTGGGCTGCCGCCGCGTTTTATTTCCTCTATTTTCGCTTCAAGTTCCTGACGTATTTCTAAAATTGGCTTAAGTAAGAAAATGGGTACGTCATCGTCGCGGCGTTGAAACAACATTTCACCCTCAAAATCCAGTAGTTTATGTTTACGCGCGCGCAACAAAATGCCAACGACTTTATCGGAGATGTAATTGTAAATCTGTGTGTGTAAAGAAGAAGGCAAGAAGTTCGTTACAGTGTTGAGGCTATGCAAGATATTCAAGATACTCACATTGAAGAGCTCGCCGAATGGTATGACACGCATTTTCGGCTCATCCTTGACATTGTAGCCCTCTGAGTCAATGATTTGACACAGCTCCAGCATTTCGCGGAGCACATGCATGTTCGCTTTCTGTCCGCGCATTTCTGTCAAACTGCCTGCCAAGGGCCTGAGGAAAATAAAATGCAAGTATATTAATATGGTGTGGGTTAGGGTACCATCTGTTTTTCTACTTACTTGCCGTATTCGTCTTTGGAGAAGGTCGGCTTTGGCGACACACGTCCATTGGCCGTGGAGAAAGGATTCAACAGCTGTTGCTGTTGATGTTGTTGCATTTGTTTGTTAAACATTGCCACCTTAGAGGAAAGCGGCGAGTCCTGCAGAGTAAAAAAAGAGTTGGAGAAGATCGTTCAGTATTTTTGAGTCGACTGCTGTCAATTGCTGGCAGTTCGTTAAATACTTGAGACATGAAGCCGGCAGGCATTTTCTTGTTCGCGTTTAGTTCGTGATTTCACGGTTAATTTAAAGATGGTTTGGCCGAAAGGTGTGGAGACTTTGTTATTGTTTTGAAACAGTATAAAAAATTTAAGGAATTTTAAAAGTTTTCATTTTAAAACTGACTTTTCATAATAATTTGAATTTCAAACGGTATTTTGTTGCAAAGTGATTTATAGGACATCAGGAGTTGATCTCAATATGACCAAACTCGCATGCTTACACAGACACTGAGCGTGAACACCAGAGAATTAAACAAGTTGAATGGAAATCAACCCGGACAAAAATATAGAAGAATATACAGGGTTTGTCCGGAAAGTAATAGGACTGATTTTATTTCGCCGCGATTGTACTGCGGAGCGTGAGCGCACCGACTGGATTCGGTAGAGGGCGTTCCTAGCTAACGAACGAGCGGCTGGTCAGTTGTCTTCGGGCACCTGGAGAGTCAGAACAAAAATTTTCGCGCTCCGTGTTTCTGTGAGTAGTGCAAGCCGAAAGTGCAGCGTTCGTTAGAGCAGAGATGTGCGATTAAAGTCTGTCTGAAACTCCATAAATCTGCGACATAGACGTTTGATATAATCAAGCAGGCTTAGCCAGATGTTGCTTTAGCAAGATGTGGTATGTTTCGGTAGCACCAGATTTTTTTGGAGGGCCGGCAAGAGGTCGCTGATAAAAGCCGGAAGAATGCGCAAATCCAAAGTGAAAACGATGCTCATTGCCTTTTTTGACACCAAAGGCATCGTTCACCCTGAATTTGGTCCTCTCGGACAAAGCGTCAACGACAAGTTTTACGTGGAAGTCCTCAAAAGACTCAATCAGGTCCAACAAGACATTGCACCGGCTCACACCGCCTTTCTTGTGAACAGGTTTTCTTGCTTGAAAAAGCCGATCCAAACAGTATGCACCTCGGCTCTCAAGGCTATTCAATGCCTTCAATGCTTGGAAATCGCGCTGGCAGCGCTGTATCGACGCACAAGGAGCCTATTTTGGAATTTTTTAAGGTCCTATTACTTTCCGGACAAACCCTGTATATATCAATATAAAAATCTTTGTGTATTTTTTTATGCTATAACACCCTTCAAGTTAAATTCTAACGTAATTTAGGTAAAAATAGTTTCAACATTTTCTTTCTTGTTTTTTTTTTTTAATTTTTATGCCATAATTTGAAATTCCCAAACCGAAGTTCATCATTCATTCACAATTCCGCTCATTCAAAGTCCATTCATTAAGTACTTGCTTGAATGGCCAATTTCACATTTTTCTCTAATGACCGCTATGTGTATCACCGGGCGTATGCGTGATTTTCATTTTGTTTCATGCTTGTTCTTATGCATTACGCCAATTAATCAAAACATTAGCAGCGCGTAGTAACAGCATTTCGAACTTTTTTTATGTAATTATTTGTCTAAATTTCGCGAAAGGGCTGATTTATTTACCATATACCCACAAGTGCTGGTTGTTTTTGTTTTTGCGCACAAAATGGCAGCAGGTGTCGTGCATAAATTTCGTTTTATGCACCTGCATAGCATGTTATATACTTTATATATATATATACATATGTATGTATGAATGTAAGTGCATTGTAGATAATATAGTTGCTTGTGCTGCACCAAAAGAAAGCAAAGTGCAACCCTGCGCTTGCTTGTGAATTTTGATTTATTTTTAAAGTGAAACTGTCAATGGCATAACAGTATTTTTTTTTGCTTTCTTTCGGTTATTGTTTCATCTGTAATGGTTGTTTTTGTTGTTGCTAACGAAATTCGCCTGAAAAAACAGCTCAAGGTTGCAACAATGTGAAATGGCTCACCCTTGTCTTATTGTAGTAATAAAGTAATAATTTTAAGGTTAATTTGCTTAGATTTTTGATGGAATATGCATACATACATACATATGTACGATACATATAATGATTTATTGCCAAAAGCATGCAAACACGTGTATTCGGTAGCGGCTGCGCTGCAATTTTACGCCAATTTCGTGCAGTATTGTACACATAAAAAG